GAATGCAGATGTTGATCGTCGCTTGTTAAATATTGGACTTTGCATTTCCTACGGTTGGAGAGGTACAGTCGAGTAGATTTTACGGTAAATGTACAATACCGCTCTCATAACGTGCAAAATTTCCGTGAATGTCGCGAAATTCCGAAAATTTCGCGAAATTTCCGGAATTTCGCGAAACTTCGTGACATTCCCGGAATTTCGCGAAATTCCGGAAAGTTCGCGGAAATTTCGGAATTTTGCGACATTCACGGAAATTTTGCACGTTATGAGAGTGGTATTGTAATTGACAGCCGAGGTGCGAGATTTGCTAATTACGGTGCGAGAGTGACCGCATATCACCGCGACTGCGCTGATGTGCAAATGCTATGAAGTCATGTATATGCAACTTTGTGAGCTCTTTCTTTCTATGATAAAAGCGGGATTTGAACTCTTTTATAAGGCGAGGGAGGGTTTATAAGAAAGCCAATGTACATTTTTATGCATATCTTTGTGGGAAATGGGAAAGTGTTCGGATACCCGTATTTGTGTTTATATTCGAAGGGGCTATACCAAAAATTTACAGAAGAATTGGATGTTAAATACACAAGAGGCTGATCTAAGAAAGGTTCTGGACTTAGAAATTCTTTGGAAAACTTTATGATAGATCAAAATGAAATGATAATTCCAGGAGAATAATCATGGCGCTGGCATAGCAATATTTCGATACAACTTTTGATGCGCTATCAGCTGATGAAGAAAGTTTGACAGCAGCATGAATGTGAAGGGGCGCTGCCCTATAGTATCTGGAGTTTTTCTTAATTTGATCTTTGATCTCTATATATAAATCGGTCAGAAGTGGTTCATTGGTGGTTAGTGGCGGATTAGTGGCCCAGGCATGGATGGGTTGAAATGGGAAGGTGGGGGAGAAGTGGGTGGAGACTTGGGTGTGGGCGGGGCCAAAAGTGGGCGGAGCTAGCAAATTTCGAAAAAATCCACATTTCTCTAAAATCTATCCACCGTAGTCCTACAGAAAGAAGCTATCTCGCTAACCAGATGTGTTTTTTGTAATCAATGGGTCGGATAACATCATGGTTTAATTTTCTAAGGGACTAGTAGCACTTGATTTTTTCTCGCTCCTCACTCTTGGCCTCGGCGCAAGATTTGGTTCAAAATATTGAGGTTCTCGGATTGACCGGAAACTTCGCTCATAGTGGTTTTTGGTCCCGATTTTTACGAAAATCCTATTTATTTTGCACTAGAGAGTCTTAAAGTAAAGCTGAAGTGGGATAGAAGTGGCTCAACTCACACCAAAATCGCAAATTCGCCTGCACTTTTTGCCTACCTATTGCGGAAATTGTCTGCATATTTTTGTGAATTTAAAACTATGTGAACACCTCTACCGGACCATGCTTAGCGCAGATCTTTATCTGCATTGTTCGTCAGATTATGATGTTACAAAATCGCCTTCTCATGAACTGTCTTTCAAATTCGAAAGTCGTGTAATTTGGCAGATATTCCTATCCTACAATGTGCAACCTGCAACAAAACAAAATAAGAAATGTTGTTAACACGTCGAGTAATACATGTAAGCGGATATTATAAGATTTGCTTCATACATGCATTCGAACATATGACATTGTCATAACTGTGGAAAAGCTTATAGATCACTTCAGCACGAAGGTTTGAGAGAAAAAATTCACAAGCCGTTTCTAATGTTCACCTGCTAGCAGCAGATGAGAAAATTACTGTTTTATCATTTTATCAGCCAGATACAATACCACTCTCATAAAGTGCAAAATTTCCGTGAATGTCGCGAAATTCCGAAAATTCCGCGAAATTTCCGGAATTTCGCGAAACTTCGCGACATTCCCGGAATTTCGCGAAATTCACGGAAATTTTGCACGTTATGAGAGTGGTATTGTAGTGCGCCTGCAGACGCGGCAGCATTGATGCGTGATTAATTTGTCGAGCAAAATGTTCCAGGTAAGGTTTTTCAGCCTTTTCTTCGCTTATTCTACACCAGTGCGTCACTTCTGCTTCGCAGAGGCTCGCATTGGCTATACTATCTATGTGCCTTGCTCATGCTTGTAACCTCGAGTCATTTGTAACTTAATATGTGTGATTGCACACTAAGCCCTATTAGCGACGGCACCCACAGTAGTAATTTTCCAGTAAAACATTTTCTAGCCTAACAAAATGTAGAAGTGTATTCTAATGACTAACATATAACCAATTAAAACAAAAGAAACGAGGAAACAAGGAGAAATCACGGAAACAAGCAGGTCCTAGTTTCGCTGTCCGTCATTTAGCGTGTATAGCGTGCACTAGGCATATTAAGTTACAAATGACTCGACGATACAATCTTCTCACTGGAACTCACAGCGCTATGCCGACTACCACGAATAAGATGTAAACTACTACTCATTTAGAAAGTTTTTTCACGTGAGTTCGGTGATTTCGCGTGGATGAAACTTTCGCAGGAAGACAAACGCAAATTTGGATGGTCTTTTGAATTTGTCATGGCTTGGTAGTCGCCATATAGGCAATAGTAACCACGAGATACATCTCTGTGCGAAAATCTCTTCAAATGCTTGGCTAGAACCTTGGCAAATTGGCCATTTACGCAATCAATCCTTTTTGGCGCCGTTTTCGTTATATAGTAAACTTTTGACCACTTTTCGGGCTAAAATCCATCGCTTGCACATTTGCTTACCCACATCCACGACTTTGCAAAAAAGTGGTGATACGCACCCAATTTTGCGGGACAGAAGCTAGGTGGACCCGTTTGGCGTGCAATTTCTGAGGGGTCCACTCAACGAATCTACTCGTGCTTCTGTATTTTGGACTTTCATGAAGGTAGCATGCACTATGCGAAATTTGGGCTCAGAATGGTGGCTAGAACACGCTCTACGAATTTCGTAACAGACGGACACACACACACACAAAAAAAAACACGTAAACAACCCTTAGCCCGTTATTATAAGGTCTTGATTTTTAGGTACCTTTCACTCAAGAAGGAGTGAAAGGTAAGTTAGGAAGCAGCTTTTCTTGTTTTGACCAGACAAGTCCTCGTTTGAATTGAGGTGAACCTTCTGGAAGCTGCATCGCGTGGAGTACCTTGACGCAACTTTTTTCACCATTTTTCATCATGGGGCAATTCTCAACGACTCTAGTAGGTTTCTTCTTTCTACAGGATGTTCCTTTTCCATACGAAATACCCATAAGAGGCAATTCAATTTCAGCTGACCGAGGATCCAATGTTGGTGAGTGATTGGACTGCTGTAGTAATCCTTTCTGTCATATACTGCTCGCATATAGAAGGAAACGTAGATTTCTAGGAGTTTTTTGCTTCTGATGAGTATCTTATATATAAAGCTGAATGTCTGTTTGTATGTATGTATGTCTGTATGTCTGTCTGTCTGTCTGTCTGTCTGTCTGTATGTACGTATGTTCCGAATAGAAAATTCCATTTCTGAACCGATCCGGACCAAACTTGGCACACATACACTACGGGCCCCGGCGGGTGTCATAGGCTACTTTTCGTCATCGATCGATATCGATTTTATCGATTTTCATCGATTTTTTGCTGAGTTCACCTACGGGGCTGGGAGTTGGCACAGGGGGGTAATCGAGCATGGGGATAACTCCCAGCCCCGCAGGTCAAACTTTACAAAAAAATCGATAAAATCGATAAAAGTAATGGACGATCCTGAAAACTAATATTGTGTTCGTAATCAGCATGCTCGATTACCCCCTGTGCAAAATCCCAGCCTCGCATGTCAAAATTTACAAAAAATCGATGAAATCAATAAAAGTAATCGATAATTCTGGAAACTAATATTGTATTCGGAATCCCCATGCTCACTTCCCCCCCCCTGTGCCAACTCCTAGCCCTGTAGGTGGATTCTGCAAAAAAATCGATAAAAATCGGTAAAATCGACATCGATCGATAACGAAAAGTGGACTGTGGCACCCGCCGGGGCCCGAAGTGTATGTGTGCCAAGTTTGGTCCGGATACGGCGGAGCCGGGTAAGCCAGTTAGTTTCATTATAAAGAAGCATGGTTAAGTGGAGGTGCACGGCAAGCAAACGCTCCATGGGTGGGTTCTTTTTGTTTTCATCTACTCTTTTCATTTTCTATAAACCTGCGTCCGTTTCCACCCTTAGACGGAAAGAAATGAGTGAATAGAGCTTCTTTCGAACTCGTCAGTGAGGAAAGAAGTCTCAGACTTACTTGGGGTATTTCGGCGCGCTAATTCCGAAAATACACCTTAGAGCACGAAAATGGTAAAGAACCATTTTCCGAGGCCCTTTATTTTGAATTTGGACGAGTAGGACGCTCCCCGCCGTGGTTAGAGACGTAGAGTCGTTGCAGGACCTTCATGTTATAGCAGTGCGGCATGTCGCCTCTGACGATGGGGGGGGGGGGACCGCAAGCTCGACCGAGCGCGTGTAAGATTGATTGCGCGCACGGGTTTAGGGGCAGTTTTCTAGGCAGGGGCAGCATGCTGTGCGCTCGGACCTGCTCTGTTCTCATCTTCGGGATGCAAGCAACCTTCCATATACAAATCTCGTGATGTTCGGTTTTGCCGAGCCACGCCTTTAAGGATTGACTTTTTTGGGAAAAAAGGATGGCTTACATGTACTAATCTTCTTCGTCTTCAAAGATTAAACAAAAACTCACTTGTTTCATAGCATGCTGTTTGACTGAATCAAGCGTTTGTGATTGTTTTGACAGTAAAGTCCTTGTCCGTTTTATTTGCTTCATAAGAGAATCAGTTTACAAGTTTTGCTTTTTCTATTGTACAAATTCTGTTGATTTCAAAAATGAACAATCGCTTCGCTAAAGCTATAACCAGCTTGCTACTTAAAGGTAGACTAACGAAGAATAAACGCTGAATGTCAACTTTGAATTTTTACCTGTAACAGAGTCCTGATAGACCGTTCTGTGTATACCAGTCAAGCATAATGCTGTGGATGATAATCAATACTGACTGTTCCATACAAAATCGAGTAATTTTATTTTTCTCGCTCGCCGTTCAACACCAGTCGATTGTTGAATGTAACTGTAAGTCTTCCTCTAGTCACTATTGCACTGCATTGTTCCACACTGCAAATTGTGGCCAATGTCGTTTCAATCGTTATAAACTTGGAAAATAATCATGAAATAGATCGGATTGCTCAAGTAATCAATTGCTGCCTCTTGACTCACTGAGCTACTGCGCATTAGGTAAGAAGCTAGTCGAATTCCAATAATCTTTTTTAATTGTGGGCAGATCGCATAACAGAAGGCCTCAGAGGAATTCCACACCATCGCGCACAACACATGCCGCAGTGGCTTTTTGTTCAAACAAAACCGAAGTAGGAAAGATTCAGGAGGGTTGCTAGAGCTTCCGTGCGAAAAAGAAAGCCTCCTTCTTCCTTTGATATATTTTGGCAACTCTTCGGTAAGATGCAGTTTGAGAAGGCAAGCAAGAATGTCAAAGTGTTTTTTGTTAGGAAGCACTACTACAACGGATAGTCATATTGGTAATACCAGTGCGTCATCTCTGCTTCGCAGAGGCTCGCACTGGCCTTTCTATCCATCCCTCCCAATTCTCGCATGATGACCGCTTTGAAACTCACCGCAAAATGCTGACCATTCCGAATTGTAAATATCAGCTCATTCATCGAGCTTGTCCATGTGATATTGGTAATTTTGAGAAATCAACTTTTTTGCAAAAGCAGATGCGAATATGAATCAGACACCAAGTTTGCTTTGGTGGCCATGTCGCCATAAAGACGATAATCATCACGTGATACATTTCCTTGCAATACTTTCACTTTTTATAAACCTTGACATATTGACGATTTACGCAATCATTTCTTCTTCTCTCCGTTTTCGCGGAAGAATGAATTTACTCACTTTCTAAGCTAAAACCAATAGCCTGCGAATTGGCTGTTCAGACGAATTCTAAAACTTGCAAAAAGTTTGATTACCGCCGCAGTCGTGTTTTGTGGGTGAGAACACGCGGCGTGGACATTCTGAAACCCATGTTTTGAAGGATTCGCTTATACTACAGGTTCGTCCTCAAGCATGTTGGACCTAGATGTTGGTACCGTATGTTACGCAAAATTGTAGCTCCAGACGTTGGCTGCGACTCGCTCTGACAGACAGATATAAAGGCTGCTGCATGACAAAAGCGCCGAGGCAGTACGAGTTGGGCGGTCGCGAACGCGGCGCGCACATATCTCCACCGTTGTAAATTGTCCTCCTCAGTAAATTGTCCTTTTGCTGCTAATAAGTCCGCGTTCGCGCCAAGGGTATTGCGCATTCGTCGTGCAGCAGCCTATACACACTCGGACAGACATAAGCTTAGTGCTTTGTTATAAGTCACCAGTGCGTCACCTCCGCTTCGCGGAGGTTCGCACTGGCTCCCTATCCGTATGCCTTTCTCATGTTCGCATGAGAATGGCTTCGAAACTCACCACGCGATGCTGAGCATCACAAATTAATCGTAATCCACCGTTCATTCATGAAGCATCTCCATGTAATTCTGAAAAAAAGCTTTGTTGCAAGGAAACAAATGCCAATTTGAACAAATTACTTAATTTATTTTAGTTTGATAATTGTCATAAGGATAATAGTCAACTTGGACTACATTTCAGTGCAAAAATCTTTTCAATCTTTTCAAATAAATCCTTGCCAAATCCACTATCTACGCTTCATCACTTTTTGGCGCTGTTTTTGCAAAAAAACAAACTTTTTGAGCACTTTTTCGGCTAGAATTCATGGCGCGCAGAGTTACTTGTCAGGCAAATCATAACTTTGCAAAAAGTCGAATTATCGACCCAGTTTTGCATGCCAAAAGGCGCGTGGACCCGTTTGACGCGCAAATTTTGAGGGACCCGCTTATCAAACCGGCTCGTCCTTGCGCGTGGTGGGCCTACACGCTGGCACGGTAAGTTATGCAAAATTGCAGCCCGATAGCTTAGTTGCAGCTTCCTCTATGAATTTCGTACAGACAGATTTTCACACAGACAAACAGACACACAAAAAAAACAGGCGGCCTTAGCGCGTTATTATAGTAGGATGATATTGGGCTGGAAACTAAGTTTTGCAACTTTTTTCGAATAAGGCCCGTATGCACGTACATCCCCGCGGGGAGGGGAGGGGATCTGAGAGGGGAAGCGTCATATCTCGCTAGTCTATATACTTTTCTTCTTCTTTCTAGGTCTTGATTTTGAAGGTTTTCATACACTGATACTTGCGCATAATGGATGCCAGGTTACTGCCAAACAAGATTAGATATTCACTACTTCGTCTGACCCCTGGGGATCCCCAGGGGATTACCTCACATTTTCAAAGTCATATCTTCCTGAAAACTCAATGAAAACGCTCTAAAATTGTACTGAGGATATACTACAGCACTGCAAAACAAAATCTTCAAATTCCATTTCTTCTGTAAACATGCTCGGCAGTATCGTAGTATATCCTTAGTACAACTTTGCAGCGTTTTCATTGATTTTTCAGGAGGATAAATGACTTTGAAAATGTGAGGTGATCCCCTGGGGGTCCCCAGGGGATCAGAAGGACTAATGAATATCTAATCTTGTATGGCAGTAACCTGGCATCAATTATGCGCAGGTATCACTGTATGAGAAGCTTCATAAACAAGATAGAGGAAGGAGGAGAAAGATATGTAGACTAGCGAGATATGACGCTTCCTCTCTCAGATCCCCTCCCCTCCCCGCGGGGATGTACGTGCATACGGGCCTAAGTTTCCTTTTAATAGATATGACGCGTTCACATTTTGCCAATATAAGTGACGCAAGCTACGAGTGCAGCTGCTGTTCTGCCGGGGTGGTGCAGGAGGAACTGAAGGGCTGCCGCCTGTACTCGCAGGAGATAATTTGAAAAACAGAGTTTTAATGCAAATTGGAAGGCACATTCGCTGGGCTTAAAAGTAAGTGAAAATTTGGAATTGCATTGTAGCGGTAAGGAAAGTCAACTTCCTTATGGAAACTTTTTGATAAATAAATTTTGAAGTTTCAAATTGTTGAAGAGGGGACTTTCAATTAAAATCCATTCTTTTTCCTTTGAGATAAAGAAATAGTCTGCCTTTTGAGCTAATGAGCCAAAGCAATCAAACTGTCATAAAAACAGTTTAGTTTCAGAGGCTTTGTGTCAAGATGCGATATGCAGTTTGTCTCATAACTGTAAGCCTATTCATATTTTAAATTTTGACACTAAACTTTATAGGATTTGCCATTGAAACTATGTCGGTAATCCTTTCGAAATTGTACACAATAGCAAAAGTTCATAATATGCAACTTAGTTAACATTTTTTTCCTCATTACCACTACCTACTTTCTATTTTGAGTCCAGAAATTTTACTAAAAATTCACTTAAAATCTACCACACAACACTGAACTTGAAAGTTCAAATTCCTCAGCTTTTGATGGTGAATTTCAAAGGCAAACTTTTTGGTGAAAATAGGGTAGCGAGACAGAGTTGTTTATCTATCCGGTAGGCGTATAACTGGAATTTGCGCCTTTCAATGGCAATTCCAAATCTGTTCTTTGTTCCTTTGGAAGTTAATTCCAAGAAGAGTTATAAGGGTTTGTTTCTGATGGATATCCTCAAGTCTCCCTGGACCCTTGCCAAAATCTTCCCCACAACGCTCGCGCTCCTAATTATCTCCTACGACTACAGGCGGCAGGCCTTTGGTCCCTCCTTTGGTCTCATCCCTGTTCTGCCAAATTCTAAGGTTGCAGTAAAGGTTACGGTAGGTGTATGTTGTAAAGGGAGAATTATAGACCATTGAAGATATCCTAATTGGTGTACGGGGAATTATCCGACATGCTGATTACGGAAATGATACTGAATATCACTGGATTTGCAAGATTGGGGCTTTTTCGTAAGATTACTGTAGATTCACGGCATGGGTCTTACCTTAAAAATAAAAGGCGTAAATTCAACGGATGAATATGATGTTCGTGTTCTGCAGCCCAATAACCATACCATGCAAAGTTTCGGCGATTCTGAGACTCCGACTCCTTAGTCATTGACGCTTGTCCTCAAGCAGCCTTAAGTACAGACGTCGTTCAACTTCGTAAGGCGCCAGATCCCGATTTGTCTTTCAATTCCACTCCTTTTCTACTAAGCCAAACGAGTCAATTCCTAGCAATAATTTGCACACATTTCAAATCATTGTGCATGGTCAGGGTTGCGAACGGCTTCATTTTGCTGGTAACATCATAAACGTTACAACACTAGTTTTGAAAAAATGTATGCACTAGTGAGCGTAGCGCCAACGGAACGGCTATCTGACTGGTAGCGAAGAACACAGAATCAACAATCAGATTTATCCGTATGACATATGGAAAGCATGATAAGCGGGATAACGGGATAGATCACGATAACAGTCCTGGGGCGGGCTGGTGGGAGAATACAGAGGCAGTCCGCATCAGCGGAAGACGGTGAGCGATATCAGGTCCGACCGCCCAGTAGCCTGTTGGTGGGGAAACTCCTCGACGCCTCGAACAGACTGGCCACGCTCTGAATGAGTCATGACTACGTGACAGCTATGCGAGATTCTCTTACATCTCCCTCATTTTCCTACAAGTCCGTCCTCGGACTAAAAAAAGAGGAAGAAACCAAAAAATCGTGCAAAGGGTGCAAAAGAAGAAGGAAAGACCCTACCGTCATTCGGCTGGCAGGAATCTGCCGAGATCGGCCGCGGAGACAACGGCGTGGCGCTGCTCGGCCCAGCGAATTATCTGCATGATAAAATGGACCGTAACGAAGCGACGAGCCTCAGGAGGAATAGCCCACATCGGGTTAAGACGACGTTGAGGCGCTCACGATCATCAAAAAACTACGTGGACGCGTTAAGGTCGATGTCAGTTTGGGTGGTCAATATGACGACTATATCTTTCTCACGCCCTCGGATAGAGTCTACCGTGGCGAGCTCTATCTGATATGGATTTGGAGCTTAGAACTAACCCCATAAGCCATCCCAGATCCTCAAAGGACCCTGGAGCATGCTCGCTTGACTCAGTCGTTCAAATCAGAATGGAGATGTTGGCGAAACGAATAAAAAATGAAGCAGTTTTAAAAAAAGATTAATAACGCCGTTTCAAGCGAGCTTTATAATAAAAGGATACTGGCCGAGCCCATCAGGGGCAGAGTGAAAAAACTCAACTGAACGTGAAGAGGACTGTCGTCGACGATGATGTCTTAACTCCAAGCGATCTGCAATGTTCCCTCAATTATGTTGGCTATATTTATATTTGGCTGAGCTTATGCGAACATAGCGGACAGATCAGTCATCTTGATACTGCTTGAACTACGTGCGGAAAACTCACCTCACTTTCTCCTTTGCTTTACCTTGCGCTATCTTCACAAAAAACGTCCGCAACTCAACTGTCTCTGCAAAGTAATGCACTTCTGTTCTTTACCCTACCGGCTCTGCTGAACTCGCTTTACTTCAACTTACTCAACACAATCATCAAGCCTCTAACAATCTTCTGACCCTGGGCAATATCGTTCGCTTCGGCTCACGGCTTTATAGGCTACCAAGGTGATCATTCTTGTGTAGACCTGGTCAGGGTCGGTCTAAAAAAAACATACGAATCATTCACAACGAATCGGAACTACTCGCTGCTACCAGTGAGCGTAGCGCATGGAAGCGGCTATTTGACTGGTAGCGAACACAGAATCAACAATCAGATTTATCCGTATGACATATGGAAAGCATGATAAGCGGGATAACGGGATAGATCACGATAACAGTCTTGGGGCGAGCTGGTGGGAGAATACAGAGGCAGTCCGCATTAGCGGGAGACAGTGAGCGAGATCAGGTCCGACCGCCCAGTAGCCTGTCGGTGGGGAGACTGCTCGAAGTCTCGAACAGACCGGCCACGCCCTGAATGAATGAGTCATGACTACGTGATAGCTAAGCGAAGTTCTCTTACACACTTTCTAGTATCAAACAATTTGGGCACATTTGACACGTCGAGATCTACATATTGCCAAAGTCTGAAAGGAAAGTTATGAAAGTAGTTGCAAAACCTAGCTTTTGAACTAATACATTAAACAGTATTTACCTATATTCGCAATGGTTTGTATTTCAAAGCCTAAACGCAGTTGCTCTCCCTTTTAACAAGAAAGAAAATGATGAAGGTCTGCTTCAAAAGCCATGTGCAAGGTACTGAACGCATACTTGAGTCCTCACTATAGTCATCAAGTCAACAAAGCGAGTTAAAAATTTATCTCAGATAGGCTATCTGATTTTACCTTATCTGAATCTGTCTTCTAACACTAAGTTGTGATTACGGGTGTGTTCAAATAGCGTATTAAATAGAACCAAATTTGATCCAAATGTTTTGCAAAGATAGGGTCGCAAATGTTCAATTATTTGCAAAGTTTCAAAGCACAGATTTAGAAAAAATCACAAGCTTTATGTACGTTTGCAAGGGTCTTTGCCTTAGCTGTGATGCGTCTATTGCGAATCGATGCGCCTTAATAAACGCTAAATGTCTGTCTTTTTGTGCGTGTGTGTATGTTTGTCTGTCAAATTCATAGATGAAGCTGCAGCTATCACAATTTTGCATAACGTACCGCACCAGCATGTAACCATGCACAAGGGCGAACGTACGATAAGCAGGTATACTTCAAAATTTGCACGTAAAACGGGTCACCTACTTAACACGCAAAACTAAGACGCTGATTCGACTTCTTGCAAAGTTATGAATTGGTTTGACAAGTATATCTGCGCCCCATGAGTTCTAGCCTAAAAATGCTCAAAAAGTTTGTTTTTTTTCTTTGCGAAAACAGCGTTAAAAAAGTTGTGATCGCTACATCGTCGATTTGGCAAGGTTTCACTAAGAAACTGAGAAGACTCATGAAAATCTAACCCGATATGACTATTATCCTTAGGACGATATCAAGCCAGAGTAAATTCAATTATTCATTCAGAATCGCATTTATCCTTTGCAAAAAAAGTTTTCTTTCTCAAAATTACCGATCCTACATGGAGACTACAAGAATGGACAGTTGTTTACAATTCATTTGTGATGTTCAGCATCGTGAAATTCAAAGCTATTACTATGCGAACACGAGAAAGGCATACGGATAGCAGGGTCAGTGCGAATCTTCGCAAAGCGGAGGTGACGCACCGGTTTAATAGTATACATAGTACAGTCCCAGTCAGGCCAAAAATGACAAGGCGGAAGTTTGTGTCGCGACGATTTTGCTTAACGCCTCTATCAAATTTGTCTGCTCTCTCTTGAATCTCTCCATCTTTTCCGACAGCGCTTATGTGCAGCCGCAACCCTTAGCACTGTGAGCGTGCAGATCTAAACCAGCAGTTTGGCCTGATTAAGATTGCGAAAGGCTGTATACACTTTACAAGAAGGAGGCTGCAAGAGGAGGAAGTAAGGCTAAAGCCAAAAAGCGTTGTGATTTCTGTTGCAAAAATGCTGTTTTCTGGATGCGACAAAGATTTGGTACGATAAACTTACAAGGGAAAGTTTTCCAGTAGAAGTGGCCTTTCCAAATAAAATCTAAACCATTCTGTAGAGTTTCAAACGATGGTTACAAATTTTCCTTTATTATCTGTCGAACATTTTTAAACGTCGAGTTATGAGCGTTTTTGACACAAAAAGTAGAGGCGCAATTAATACAAAATGGTCCAGAATCGCTTAAATGGTCTGATGTTGTATACAAGGGCACATTAGGCGATGAATACCTTTTATTTAATATGCTCATACTCAACACTTCTTGAAAGCAGGAACGACAATGATAATTGATCTCGCCTGAATTTTAAGTGCTGCTTCCTACTTTAAAACAGCGTTTAAAGCTCTGCTGTGGTTTAAATTCATCTGAAAAGCATGTAAAGTCCACTACGAAGTCCCCAATAACGAAATGCGCTACGGTCACCGGCGCACTGCTGCTAAGTATTGCCGTTGTTGTGACTCATGCGCGCCGATGCTAAGCGCGCAGCCCTTAAACTACCTCGGCAGTCGCGCGTTCGCCACGCTATGGGCATTTTGCTTACAGTCTTTCGGGCGATTTCGCGGTGTAGAGGACTATATGGCGCCGAAAAAGGGCGGTCCCCGTGGTCATTTGCGACAAATGCGCACCCTTGTACATGCGCGGACATGCGTTCCTGCAGGAAATCCGCGCGGAACTCTGCCACTTTCGGCGACATATAGTCCTCCACCCGATTTCGCGCTGTCAAGTTCTGGTGCATGCGAATAAAGCAAGTGAGCGGCTTCAATATTCGGGAGCTAGATTATGTGACGATAGAGGAGCCACACGTTGTAACAATATCTCAAGAACCTCTTATGGAAGTTCGTCTTACAGTCAGAACGCTTATTGAAGAATCAAATGCTAGACACTCATACGGCGAAGTGTTTGTATTCTGATTTCTGAACCCCTCCACCCCATCCCATAAACATTCAACTTGATACTTACGCAGATATAACGTTGGTGTTCCGTACAGCGTAAAAGGCGTACTCACTCCCTGCAGGACCCACTCCTCCGCTTCAAGCCTCCAACATGCTAAGCTTGTTCTGGGAAGTGAGTGTGGTTGCTCTAATGCTTGAATTCAAATTCGGATTTGCACATCAGAGGAATTGTCGGCGATTATATCGAAAGTAGGATTTTGGAGAGCGAATGCTGTTATTGATCTGACTAATCTTTACATTCTTGTTGAAAAGCTCAAAATCTCAATCTCAACACATTTTAAAAGCGATAATTTTCGGAATTTTCATTTACTGCCTTTTATCGATTTTCGGCTCTAGAAAAAAGGAAGTCAAGGCAAGTCTTGTGAAGTGAGGCAGCAGGCGATTGCCGTTTCATTCGCGCTTGAGATTGTGTGGACAGAGACGGCCGTAAATGTAGTCAAATTGATAATCTGTCAGAGGGAACAAGCGCAGAGTGCCAGCTGGTAGCTAACTATATTAACTAGGCATCAGGTAGGCGCGTCATATGGCAACCTATGTATGACTTCAAAGCTATCCTGTTTCAAAGATTAAGGAAATCCTTAGTATATGTTTCAATATTTATAAAGATGGTAGAGTCACAGGACTGGCCATCCTTACTTTTTGATATCATTTCAGGAAGAAATTCAAACAGGAGATGGTGAAGAAGAGTTCAGAATTGTTAGCACTAATCAGCTTTTTGCAGATAATGTCGCTGGCTACAGGTACTATCTTCATATAACATAAAATAAGTCTTGTTTGTGTCAAAGAAATTCTGATTCTCATTTGCGACATGTTGTATAAGATTCTCAAAATTCAGCGAAATTCGATTTGTATCATTAGTTGGCGCGTCTCCGCTCCCGTTCGGGCTGACCGGCAGGAAAAGAAAGATTTCAATCGGAAAAATCAGACCGTAAAAGCGCAGTCCTTTCTGCTTGGCTTCTGCATCCGTCTTGTAAGGAAGGGCTCAGCAAAATGCCACAGAAAGTTGAAAAGTATCTGAAATATTTGCCAGAGCTAACGACATAAATGCATCAGGTTCGGCGCCTATCGTTTCAGGAGCTAACTTTTTGCACGGAACAAACAAATTAAACAGAAATTCATGGTATGCTTTAGGTTTTACATGAATTCGTCGCATGAAACGCTCAAAAACCCGGTTTTCGGGATCTTCGCGGAAGCAAAGCGAACGAATTGTGCTTTTTCACCCTAATTTTCTAATTCTGATCAAGTAAATAGGTAGCAATGCACATGCTTCCCGCACTAGTAATCGTTGCCAGTATCTGGCAACACACGGTCTGCTCCTCTTCATCAGTCCTTTGAGCGGCACTTCGGCAAAATCGGGTAGAATTTCTGGGAATCTTCTGGATGCCAAGCTCTCTTCAGCGATTGCGTCGTCGTGCCAAAGCTTTACAGTTTGCCGTGGAAAAATTGAAAGTTTACAAGCAATAATCTGAAACCTAGATATCCGCTCGAAAAGGACAACTTTGTGTTGCACGATGACAAATTAAACTTCTAAGGAAAGATAGCAAGATTGTGCAAAATGTGCATCGCCTCTCACAATCAGACAAGCCGGCTAGATTGTTGCGCTATCGGTTTTAACTAAACATAATTGTTTCATACGATGCATCAGCAAAATTATGGGCCAGAAATTCCTTTTCTTTTTAGCGGGATTATTCGAGAACTTATGTGTGCATCCTTTCCAATTTGGAACTGGAAAGCAAAAGGTTTGTACTTTGTCTTGTCGCTTATGCAACTTCAGTTTTCTTGACATACAGTGCTGGACAAATTTATAGGTCCACTCTAACAAATGCCATAACTCACTCTGTTGTCAATAAAATATTCCAAAATTTGGTACAGCCGTGTGTTTACCAGCCTACTATCAGTCCTCAAAATGGGTCTCGTTTTCGCTTGGTTATTCAAGAAAAAATTAAAATCTTTGAAAAAAAGGGTTTGAAGGCTGGACAAAATTATAGGTCCACCTAGAGTTTTTACTAATTGAAGCACTTCTTAACTTCGAATTTTTTAGGTAGGTACACATTCAAAAGTGTTAAACAGTTGCTTCAGTCAAGCTGTGTCATACCTTCAAAATAACCTTTTATCTGATTTTTTGAGTGAAAATGCTTTCACATGTATTTCGCTCCAGAAACCTGCATTGAGTAAGAAATTTTGCAGTTTCTCAACTGAATTGGAGGCGACGGGGTTTCATCTACCTTCTGTGGCCGTATTCATCAACGAACCCTGAGGGTTAAGCTTACCCTCCAGGGTTAGTTTAACCCTCAGGGTTCATTGGCCGTATTCATCAACCATAGGCTAGGGTTTACCACGGAACGCAATCCACCCGTATCGATCAACGAACCTGTGGCCGTATTCCGAACCCTGAGGGTTAAATTAACCCTGGAGGGTTAAGGCGTCAATTACGCGTGCGCTGTGCAAACTCACATCACAGAATGCCTAAGTACGGGCTAAATTCACTTTATACTTCTATTCTTTCACTGTTATAGTAGTATAGTCAAAGAATAAGCTTCTAACACTAGTTTTTATAATACATCTCTAGCATACTTGTGCAGCATCCAATCTTACAGCGTGAGTTTATTTTCATGTGTGCAATTGTGCAGTGTAAGTTCTACTTTTGCGCAGATGGTTTTATACCGGGCTTGTGCTACTCTTTTAGGGGTCAATGCGTGTTATTATAAAGGTTCTTCTGTTTTGGCACTTGTCAGAGTGGAATGCCATTTTTCCTCGTCGCAATCATTTGTCACCAAAGCTAGAATTCTTTTTCTCGCAAAGTCAGTGTTTCATATACTTCGAATATGAACATAAAACGAAGTCGAAACTAAATACTATAACAACAACCAATACTAAATACTACAATACTTGTTAATCGTTTTCCATAAACTATTAGATGCGAGTAAATGTTTGTATGAAGTGTTAGGGTGGAGTTAACCCTGATCTGAGCTAGGGTTAAATTAACCCTGATGAATCACGTAAGTCTAACCCTACAGGGTTAGTTTAACCCTCACGGCTCGTTGATGAATACGGGTTAATCGCTTTCGGGGTAAAATTAACCCTCAAGGTTAGATCTAACCCTCAGGGTTAAGCCTACCCTGTGTTTCATGAATACGGGTTAAACGCTTTCCTGGGTTAAACTAACCCTCCAGGGTTAGTTTAACCCTCGGGGTTCGTTGATGAATACGGCCACTGGATGCTTTTTGACGTGAGCATTGAGGAAAAAATCTGACTTTTTGCTGCTTAAGCAAATCCGACATCGACTTATTCGGTAGCGTAAGCCTCAGTTCCTGCCCTAAACCCTTAATGCATTATCATTATAACCACAGGATACTGTAGAAGTATTCTTTACACAAGAATAAAACTGTTCGTCATACTCGTAAGTGTTCACAAAGCTGCCTTGTTTCTTTTTCGAAACGTGAGTTGTGCAACGTGATGGTGGTGTTACTCACTTCCAAAATGGTTTGCCAAGTGCTACCCCACTTACAAGATTTTGTATTATTATTTGATTTGTTAGATTTTCGACAGTAATTTATTTACTAGGTAGTGGATACAGCTTGTATTGTATGTTAGCACATGATTCTCCTGAAAATTCTAGTCGGAGCCGCAATTAGCTTTGGTACTTGTCTTAATCAGTTTCTGCAGGGTGATTTCAGTAAATACTCAAATGCTAGGATCTCTATAAAGTTGTAACCATGGAATACGGACTCCCCTTCGTAAAAACAATGCCTTTACTTTACTCAGTGCTTCCGAGGACATCGTAAAAGAAGTTCGAAGGCAAAAATTTGACTCAGGATCGCATTATTGTCAATGTTTGGTTTGCTTCTGCAGCAAAAAGTCGGGTTTTTCATCAAAACTCACGTCAGAAAGCATCCAGAAAGTAGATGAAACCCAGTCGCTTCCAATCCAGTTGAGAAACTGCAGAATTTCTTACTCAACGCAGGTTTCTGGAGCGAAATACATGTGAAAGCATTTCCACGTCAAAAAAGCGGATAATCGGTTTTTTTTTTGAATGTATGACACAGCTTGACTAAAGCAACTGTTTAACACTTTTGAATGTGTACCTACCTAAAAAAATTCGGAAGCTAAGAAGTGCTGCAAGCAGTAAAAACTCCAGGTGGACCTATAATTTTGTCCAGCCTTCGAGCCTGCTTTTTTCAAAATTTTTAATTTTTTTTAACCAAGCGAAAATGAAACCCATTTTAAAGACTGACAGTAGGCTGGTAAACACACGGCTGAACCCAATTTCGGAACATTTTATTGACAACGTGAGTTATGGCATTTTTTAGAGTGGACCTATAATTCTGTTCAGCACTGTATTGATACCCAAGTCAAGTCTGCGAGGCTGCATGGTCATTTTGCTATTTAAGAAATGAGAAGTAGTGATTCGAAACGAAATGCATATCATCAAAGGTGTCTTGTTGAGCTGACCAAATCTAACTTTTATCTTTTTAACAGTCCCCTTAAAGAAGTTGTGACCGTTTGAAGGTCAAAATATGACAGGCACTCAGTGCCACACTTCATGAGCTAGTTATTCAAAAACATTTGCATTCCTGGTGTGTCTGTTCTTTTAATTACACTAACACCATGCCAATCAAGCAGTAGCAAGCTGGATTTTGATGCACATTTTGAAGCTCCTATAACTTTACACTTTTGACCGCTCGTAACTTGCTTTAGAATATCAAGTAGTAGACTGTGCTTGTGGTCAGCTCTCAAAAGCCTATTAAATTGCATCTATTCATTAATTCGCCACTATGACTTGAACCGAGTTCTAGGGCCTCGATCTAGAACTATCGCACAAGTCTGAAACCGTAGTCCGAGACCGAAATTGTGAAACCCTATGAAAGGAGAAAATCGGCGCAGAAAAGCTGAGTCTCAAAAACCAGCGTACTTTCCCGCACCCCCTTTCTGAGTGCCATATTTGGAATCAACGCTATGAAAAGGCCTAGATAAGGCAAAGAAATAGAGACCGAGATACTGTCTGGACGCTGCCTTCAAGTTTTGTATAAAGCGGGTACATTCAGGGCTTGAACTGTACAGTGAAATATAAGAAATTTACCACAAAAAAGAACCACGCTCGTGAATTGTGTGATACTCTGTCTCCTTTCGACGTTTTGGATTACAAAAACGGTTTTCCCACTGTGTGCACCTACGGTAAGTTGCTTGCATCTCTGTTTATGTTAGAAACATTCGTGATAATTTATGGCCTTCACATGTGAAGCTTAGCAGCTTAGCATAAGCTTCCATGAGAGCGCCCGAACATTTGTGTAAATTCGATCTCTTGTGCTTTGTATTACCAAACGTCTCGAAATTTTGACATGGAAGGTTGCTTGCTTCCAAACATCAGAACAGAGTAGGTCCGAGCGCACTACATGCTGCCCCAGCCTAGAAAACTGCCCCCTAACCCGTGCGCGCAAGCCATTCTTACACGCGCTCGGACGAGCTTGCGGTACCCCTCCCACCGCCAGAGGCGGCATGCCGCAATGCTTCAAATATGAAGGTCCCGCAACGACTCGACGTCTCTAACCATGGCGGAAAGTGGTCCACTCGTCCAGATTCAAAATAAGAACCCTTGAAAAATGCTGGTTTCTGACATTTTCGTGCTCTTCACAGTGTATTTCCAAAATCAGCGCGTTGAATTACCCCAGGTCAGCGAAAAAACTTCAAGTCGAGGATTTGCCGAGCCACTGGCTTTAAGGCCCGCCGCTCGTCCGAGTTATTGGCTGAGTTGTTAGCAATTTATTTTTGATAGCATTGCGCGGTGAGTTTCAAGGCCATCATTAGAAGAGAATGAGTAACTTATTTAGAAGTAGGGCCAGCGCGAGCCGCTGCAAAGCAGAGGTAACGCACTGGTGATCTTATAAAATCGAAATGTGACCACTTAAATGCTGAAGTCCGGAGCCGTAAGACCTGGACCTTTGAATCCTCTTGATTTTTGTCTTAGAACTTTACTTGGATCGAAGATTCAACATGTTATGTAAAGCTTGTTTGGCTCTATTCTCTGGTACCCTCCGGCAAATGTATGACTTAATACAAATTTGTGAGAGTCGCGTCTAGATTTTTTCGAGCTTACTGCTCCCCAATGGCTGAAACTGTTCTCATGGATAGTATGGGCACTATGCTACAAAGCCTGTTCATTGCAGCCTCTCAGTCTTTCCCTGCCTCTAGTTACGAATTTTAAATTACCGTGCTCATGCACGTTGTTGACATCGTTCTGGATGGCGCTAAAAGAGTTTTTTCGCACGAAAATTTGTGCAAAAGGTAGGAAGTAAGCCTTTTGATCGAAAACATATTTTACGCTCCAAAGATATTGTTTTTTCTCCCTTCAAAAAAATGATGTCGCGTACGGGGACCGAATTTGCTGGCAGAAGTATGCTTGAGAATTCAAAAAAAAACTTGCAGAAACCCTAACAATATTGAAGGTGTGTATGCGTGCCAGAGATGTTGCCCTTCCCTTCGCTCTGAAATTCTGCTTCCGAAGCCCCACTGAAGTTTCACACACTCGACAAAATCCCATACCTTTCCCAACGGTGACCGTCAATAATTTGTGAACCTTAAAGTAAAGCTTATTTTTCATTCAAAATGGAATCGATGTTCTGCTTTGTCAGATAATGTCCTTTCCACTCATATTTTCCTAACATAAACATGGCCAAATCTTCGCGGAATTTCACTACTTACCCAATCTATGCAGAATTATTTGTGAGTTGGTTTTTGAATGGCGAAGCATTACTTGCATTATTTCCCAATTTGTAAGTAGTTATCTATTTCTGATCTATAATTTTGATTAAGGTCCATTGGCAGGCATCCTTTGAGATTGATATTCATTTATGCAGGTTACCGCAAAAGAAAGTGGGAGGGTTGAGTGGGAGGGGGGAGGTAGGTGAAGAGGGAAGTCGTACGGATAGGTACCTTGAGCTCAGACAATCGCCGGGGGCAGGCGGGCACCGGAAAAATAGATTGCTGATCTCTCGCACCCCGCTCGCGGATTTTTTGGAAAGCAATCAGGACTTTTCGAAAGACCGCTTGCTGAGTTCTCGATTCCTCAGAAATTCAGCAATATATCTGCAAAAGATAAGAGCGAAAAAAATTCAACAGGCGGTCTCTTAAAAATCCGCTGACTCAACAAGCGGTCTTCCAAAAAGTCCTGATTGCTTTGCAAAAAATCCGCGAGCGGGGTGCGAGAAATCAGCAATCTATTTTTCCGGTGCCCGCCTGCCCTCAGCGATTGTCTGAGGGGGGGGAGGTCGTACAAGAGGGCCTAGGATCGCATCAACACGCTTGACCATGGTCCCATGTACTTTAAACTGCTACCATGGTCTCACCATAGTCTGGCGTTATGACATCGTTGCGATAAATGATTACCATGTTTGTGGTTAGCGGCCGAATAACCCACTTTCCCGTCCACAGTAAACTACAAACCTCTCCTGATCCCGTGGTGAAAAATGAAATTCATCTTCAGATATGGTACAACCCACCGGAGCAAGTTTTGATCACCGTGATGTTCATCTAACTACCATGAACCGACCGCAACTCGGCCATATGACCTTTTCAAGATAAATACCGCATTCGTGATAAGCGCACCAAATAACACCCAGGGTCAAAATTTTACACAACTTTTGAAATTCAAAAAAAGACATGCCCACGATGACCTTCTCTCAAGTTGCTGAGATTATGCGCAAAAGCACTTCGTAGAACTTTTCAAGTGCACCTCTGCCTTTGCACACTATTTCTTTTTTTCTGACCAAACTCGGAATCAACTCTGAGTTTCACGGGAGCCCGAAACGCACAAAAAACTCAGAGTTAACGCGCAGCTCAGATGCGAGTTTTGTGGCGTAGCTGTCTGCATACAACAACTTTAGCTATGCATCCCTGTACTTGGGACAAACTACCTTTTGAGAAGTATCCTGCCATAAAGTCTTTCCCTTGATTCGACATGTTCAACGATCCGCTAAGGGAGTCTAAAAGGTGCGCGTTAACCTTCCAAGGTTTGAGCACGTTTGAGTTTTAACAGGTTTGTTATCGAGGAGATCACATTGCAAAGAAATTAAAGCCTTAATTATCAAGAGCCATCATGAAAACTCGTGAGCAATCTCCTACGATCTAAAAAGCGGAGGAACTCAAAACAGCAAGTGCGGCCTAGAAGACGAAAGACAGCTAATTTCAGTAAGATGAAACTACGATGTTTTCCATGTACCAGCAGAGCAGCTTACAATCCGAGCGCAAATAATATTTACATCAGTAGTTGTCAAAACCTAAATGCATCATTCACAATTTACACAATTGCTTGATAATTTAATCGAATCGCAATGATTTGCTCGAGTTATACACTTGTTCATGGTTGTAGTTTTCTTTATCCGCCATCCGATCTACCGTTTTGAAGGCAGTGTCTGAATTTAGAATCGGACACCCGAGTGAGAAAAGCTATGTTCTGTAGTTTTCGAAAACTAGTGCTTGTGGAAAGCTGAAAATTTATACTTCCTAGGGATTGTGCTGAACAATTACATGAGTGATAACAGCATAGCTTGTTTTTGGTGAAAACAAGAAAATCTTTGTTATTTCGACCTCTAGATAACAAAGATATACAGCAACAGTACATATGAATGTATGATGTGATATGCAATTTGTGAAAGCAAATTAAAATGCCGTAGCATTTTTGAACAAAGATATGAATTTCCCCATTTCTTGAGCCTTCAGTACGACTCAGATGCCGGATGCAAACTTACCGTGGTTCAAAGCGTGTGGCCTCTGGAGCCCTATCAAATTCATGAAGTGTACGACTTATCGCCGCAAGAAGTTAAAGTGTAACAAGATTCATGTAACAATCTGAATATAAACGTCTGATTTGAATAGTGTATATGTGAGCAAATGAAATTTTTTTAGGATTCTTTCGGAATCACGATTTCCTCTAGTTTTTGAGCAGTTGGTTCCTTTTAGCTTCTGGCTTCAAAAACGAGATGGTTGTAAATTCGTACGAAGGCAACACCGTCTTGTGAAGCTTGCTCTGCTCTATCGAACGATAACCTGAGACCTATCATGACTTATAATAAGCGCTAAGCGTCTTTTTGTGCAGGTGTGTATGCCTGTCTGTCGCGGAATCGTAGAGCGAGCTGCAGTCAGCTGTCGAGTTACTTCTGCATAATATTCCGTACCACCATGTAGGTCCACCATGCACAAGGACGAGCCGTTTCGATAAGCATGTCCTTCAGAATTGGCGCGTCAATCGGGTCCATGCGGCTTTTAGCTCGCAAAACTAGGTCGCTAATTCGACTTTTTGCAAAGTCATGATAACTCTGCGCCCCATGAATTCTAGCCCAAAATGTGCTCAAAAAGTTGCTTTTTTGCGAAGACCGTTTCAAAAGTGTAATCGAGTAGATAGTCTATTTGGCAAGGCTTTACCTACAAAACTAAAAAGATTTTTGCACGGAAATGTAGCTGAAAATGGCTTATATCCCTATGACGTTGTCAAGCTGAATAAATTCAGTAATCCATTCAAAATCGCATTTATCTTTTGCAAAAAAGTTTTCTTTCTCAAAATTATCGACCTACATGGAAATGCTACAAGAATGAACAGTTGTTTACAATTCGTTTGTGATGTTCAGCATCGCGCGTTGAGTTTCAAATTAGCATTATGCGAGCACGAAAAGGCATACGGATAGCAGGGCCAGTGCGACCCTCCGCGAAGCGGAGGTGACGCGCTGGTCTAGGAGTAAGCAGTGTATGACTCATTGCGATTGAAAGTCAAAACACGTAAGACACCAGTGGCGTTCCGAGAAGGGGGCGGGGGGTCGCGAAATTTTTGAAAGTTACTTACATGGGTTATAAAAATGTGCAAGTGACTTGTTTATTTTTTGTAAACAATTAAAATAATTTTTTAAATTTTTTAAAAATTCAAATTAGCCTTATAAAAAAAATTTTCTCGGGGGCGTGGCTGACGCCACGCCCCCTTTTTCCAGATTTTAGAGGTTGGAGGCCCGCAAAAATTAGGAAAAGCCCCCCTAAAATTTATTCGGAGTGCTTGGCTGACGCCACGCACCTTCATCTGGAAAAATTTTTTGCCGCCCCCCCCCCCGAGCCGGAATCCTGGGTACGCCACTGAAGACACCTGATGCATTCTTTGTAGATTTAGATAGAATTTTTGTCCAGATGCTTAGATGTTTCGAGCCCATGATAACTCAAAATACATCTGGACACAATCTCATCAAATATGCCATGCTTTGTTACAGTAAAATCTCTCAAGTGCGACGACCATGAGCTGCCTATTGATGACCTATGCATCACAGTAATGGTCCAAAGCAGCTATTCTGAGAATGCCTGTGGGGAAGACTATCAACTTCACACAATTCAAAGTCGCTTGGAGCACAAATGGATTACCGGTAAGAATCAACATTAATTTGCAGTCGATGTACGGCTATACTATGTGACAAGTGTAGCAATTCAACACACAATTTTTCCTCCATAAGTTGAAAGTTTTTTCAGCGACTAGTTGGCATCCTCGGCTACGCCCAAGCTACTTTGAATTCAGCAATTTATGATGTTCAAATTGCTTTACCTACTATGATCTCCGTGACCTATACACAAATGTTTTGGTTGCGAACTCCATGTTAATCTAAATTTGGTGTTTTGACAGTAATTTTTGAAAGAATTAACTCAAATCTAAAGATAAAATCACATAGTAAAGACTTAGTAGTATAAATGGAATAAGGGTACAGATCATACTGCGAAAATACAACACTTGCATCTATTCTTGCTACTTTGACATTTCTGTTGGGATTTCCTGAAAAGGCGTGCTCTCATTTTACTTGACAGATTTGCTTCCCACGAATGTACTCGTAAGCGTAGTGGGATGGGAGTAATAAAGCATATCACTGACAATGAGAGCATTCTCATTGTGCCGTCCTCTGATCGGTTGCTTTCTATCTATCTCCAATGCCCTCATCACAGAAGTGCAACAGTGCCTCCATTTTCTGGCATTTTGCTCCAAGCGGACTGTGACAAAAGTGAGTGTAGCTTAGATTTTGTTTCCTTGCATCGCTACTACGGTCCAAGGATCCTTATTTGCACATATTACGACAGAGACCGCTGCTCTAGTCATATAATCGAACATATTCCATGGATGACTGTCACTGATGCTGTTGTTTTTGACGCCATAGTTTAGATCGCAACAGTAGATCCAATTGACATACAGGGTTTATCGATTGACGGGTGTCAGGTACACCAGCATCTCCGCTCCCACGCGGGACTCTGCACCTCTTCCGCAAACATGTCTGTATCTCTTCCGCGAAATCGACTGAGGCCCCACCTTTTCTACGCTCGCGGTGGGAAAGTGATCAGAGAGGATGTTCGCTAAAAAGGCGCAGAGTCCAGGCGATGCGGCCGCGCGGAAGCGGAGAGCTGGTGCGCCCGACACTGCAGTTGATGGGCCCCATACATGCTGAAATAGAAGTGACTTTGAGAATTGGCGCCTTTGATGTTGCAGAAGGATCCTACACATCTCAGCGTAAGCGTATGCATCATTTTTAAAGGTATAAGAAAACCTACTTGAGGTGCTCTTCTTGCCACTGAGCTTTGCATTCAAAACTCAGAATGGGACTTACCGCTACTGTTCGCTTTCACTTAGCCGAATGATTTGATAAGCCCTTCATTTCCAATTTCTTTCCATTCTATGTAAACGAATCAATAAATCGATAGAAGGACCCAACGAAAAGTAGGGAAAAGTAGCCTATCTTTTGCGCCGTGTCTCATTTATAGGGAAACAAAATTCAGACTCTTTAGTGTACATACGAAGGAGTCTATAAGACACAAACCGATTAAAACAAAGGTACAGTGCTTGAATTATATCATGACTTATATTAACGGGCTAAGGGTGTTTACGTGTTTTTGTGTGTGTGTCTGTCTGTCTGTAACGAAATTCACAGAGCGAGTCGCAGAAGGTTTCAAGCCGCAATTTTTTGCACAACACCCACTGCCGCCATCCAGATTCACCATGCCAAAGCATGAGCAGATCCATTGAGTAGGTCCCTCAAAAATCGCACCCTAAACGGATCTACTCAGCGTCTGACGCGCATATTGGGTCCGTATTAAGACCTATTGCAAAGTCGTGATTATGTTTAGCAAGTGAATGTGCAAGCCATGACTTTTAGCCCAAAAAATGATGGAAGTCTATTGCTCCACGAAAAGTGCGCCAAAACGAATTATTTGCGTATATGGTCAATTTACCAGGTTTTTACCTAAGCATTTGAGAAGGTTTTTGCACAGGATTGTAGCTCGCCGTGAATATTATTTTTATGGCGACTACCAAGCCATGAAAAAACTTAGAAGTGCTCTAATTCTGCATTTGTTCTTCATCTTCCAAAGTTTCATCCACGCAAAATACCGACTTCACACGAGAAAGCTTACGAAATGAGTAGTTGTTTACGATCCATTTGTGAAGGCGGGCATTGCGCGGTATGTTTCAATGCCATGTTATGCGGGAATGAGTATGGCATTTACTCAGACAATCGCCGGGGGCAGGCGGGCACCGGAAAAATAGATTGCTGATCTCTCGCACCCCGCTCGCGGATTTTTTGCAAAGCAATCAGGACTTTTCGGAAGACCGCTTGCTGAATTCTCGATTTCTCAGAGATTCAGCAATATATCTGCAAAAGATGAGCGAAAAAAAATTCAACAGGCGGTCTCTCAAAAATCCGCTGACTCAGCAAGCGGTCTTCCGAAAAGTCCTGATTGCTTTGCAAAAAATCCGCGAGCGGGGTGCGAGAAATCAGCAATCTATTTTTCCGGTGCCCGCCTCTCCCCAGCGATTGTCTGAGTAGATAGAGTCCGGGTCCACCTGGCTTCTGTCCCGCAAAATTGGGTCCGTATCACCACTTTTTGCAAAGTCGTGGGCGTGTTTGGTTAACAAATGTGCAAACGATGCACTTTAGCCCAAAAAGTGGTCAAAAGTCTACTACATAACGAAAGCGGCGCCAAAAAGAATTGGTTGCGTAAATGGTCAATTTGCAAGGTTCTAGCCAAGCATTTTAGAAGATTTTCGCACAGAGATGTAGCTCACGATTACCATTGCCTTTATGGCGACTGCCAAGCCATGACAAATTCAAAAACCTATTCAAATTTGCGTTTGTCTTCCTGTGAAAAGTTTCATCCACGCGAAATCACCGATCTCACGTGAAAAAGCTTTTTAAATGAGTTGTTGTTTACATTTTATTCGTGGTAGTCGGCATAGCGCGGTGAGTTCCAGTGCCACAATTGTACGGGCACATAGATAGTAGGACCATTGCAAGCCTCTGCGAAGAAGAGGTGACGCACTGGTAATATATGGCTGAATGTCTGTTTGTCTGTATGTCTGTATGCATGTTTGTCTGTATGTACGTATGTTCCGAATAGAAATTTTTAATTCTGAACCTATCCGGACCAAACTTGGCACACATGCACTTCGGGGCAAGGCGGGTGTCGCAGACTACTTTTGTTATCGATCGTTATCGATTCTATCGATTTTATCGATTTTTTTGTAAAATTTGACCTGTGGGGAAGGGAATTGACACAGGAAGGTAATCGAGTATGCTGATTACGAAGACAGAGGAATTGGGGAGCTGACATGTAAAAGTCTACAAGGGAAATGTTGTATAGGGATATGTATGGAAGCTTTATCATAGTTTCTGACAGGGCCGACCGGAGCCGGGTAGGCCAGGTGAGAATACGATATTAGTTTTAGAATTCTGTTACTTCTGTCGCTTTTATCAATTTTTTGCAAAGTTTGAGTTGCGGGGCTGGAGGCACGGAGAATAAGTGAGCATGCTGATTACTAACACAGCCGGAGTAGGGAACTGGCTTGTAGAAGTGGGTACAGGAGAGGTTGTACAGGGACAGGGATGGGAGCTTTATCGTGTTTTGACAGGGCCGGGCGGATCCGGGTAAGCCAGCTAGTAAGAATATATTAAAATGCTTCAGCATGCGCTTTGTGTTACATTTGGTTTACTGTGATGACAAATGCTTAGTTGCAACTCAAAGAGGTGTTTACAATAATCATAAGCGACTTGCTTTGTCCTTGTCAACAAACGCGATTAGACCTAACATTTAATTAATTTAGAAGTTCAAACATAGTTGAGTCCTTCCTCTGTTGCAGTTTTCTGCGTCAGGATTTGATCTTTATATCTATTTACGATTTGGAGTCCAATTTAACTTTAATTGTGAATTCAAAATTTTCTAAAAGCGTTCTATTAAATGTAGATTGATAACTGATTAAGTTGCAATCATACAATTACAACGTAAGCCGTGTCAGCAAAACACTCATGCTAGACTGTATTTGATAATAAGGAAAGAGATGCAAGTGTGTTCAGCTAATTCCCCCAGTGCCAGCACAGTGCCAGCATTGTATCGGCAGTCGTGTCTGAACTGAGAGGGCGGTCAAATTTAGTGGTAACCAAGGTAAAGCGGGGGGTGTGGCACACGATCATCGGATACGACCCCCCCCCCTTGGGCCAGACCCCGGCACGACCCCCCCCCCTTCACCCCTGCCCGAACTCTTTCAAGTAAAGGTTTACTTCAACTTTATTCCAAAAGCGCTCCGCAGTCGGTCTCTCGCTATCACACGAAAGCGCAGGTGCGAAGAAACGCGCGAAGCAACGCGTTTTGGTGCAGTGAGCTACGATATCATGACTCAAAGTCACGAAAGCAGACGCAACTCTTTATCATCAAACACAAAGGCACTCAAATTAGCATTTTAAGCGACTTGTAGAACAAAAAAAAACGACCAAAAGTAAACAGCCTCATTTTTCTCTATCGGTACTTCAAAGTGATCTACATGATTCTCTTCGTTATCGCCGATGTGCTGTTCACCATTTACCATTACCATGTCGAAGTCTGACTATATGTTCACAATTTGCCATACAGTAGAATTGGCTACATTTGGAATGGATAAAAATAAGAGAATAAGTCAAGAACGTGAGAGAGCGTTAAACTTTTTGATGGCTTGCGGAATTGCACCGTCCTATAGAAAGCTATCTGCTCCAGGATATCAAGCGAAGGGAACGGCTATAGGTTGCCGGCAACTGTTCCGAGACTGCAGATGTTGGCGGGGTTGCCGAGGTTGCCGGGGTCAGAGACAGCCTAGAGCGTGAGAAATGTGAGGCTATCATGAGGTCCTACGACGACCGGCAACGCCGGCAACCTCGGCAACCACGGCAACCTTGGACACAATTGCCGGCAACCTATGGTCGTTCCCAAACAGACCTTCCCCCAGACCCTTCCAAATAAAATTTAGAAGAAAAAGTAATTACAAAAGGAACTCGAAAACTAAGCAAAACATGGTGAAAATGTTTAAAAAAAAAGAAGAAAATCTAAACACCCAAGGTGGCAAAGCCATTAGCTTCAAATCTGT